GTGATGGCACATGGGTGGGTGATTTGGTGATGGGAAGCCCACGGGGATTATAACTGAGATGGAAAAAGGCACACAATATGATGTAAAAATATGCTATTATAATAAAAAAATGGAAAAAGGGTACCCCACAAGCAAAAAATATGGGACTTGTCTCTTTTTTAAATTTTACTGTTTCTAATTGAGGTAAAATCCTCATAACAAAATCTATCATTTTAAACTACAGTTCAGTGCATTTAGCACATTTGCAATCAAGTGCAACCACATTATTGTTTCCTAATTTCAAAAAATTTTTATTATCTCAAGAAAGCTCTACCATTTTCCCCTCTGCTGTCTTCTTCACTAAATAGATTTGTGATTCTGGTGTTAGTATATATATGCACAATGCATTAAATCACATCTTTTTCAAATTTAAGGAAATATTTCAACCTGGTATGTATTACTAATAGTCATAAAAATATTATAATGATCTTAACATGAAGCAATGCAGGTGTAGATATAAAGAATCTAGTCATTCTCTTAAAATGTTTACTTGAATAATCTAATGATCAAAGAAATATTTTTCAAAGTGGTAGGAGTTAGAATGGATGCTTGACTGTAAATGAATTTTTATTGTTTAATGATTTAGGTTTAATGATTGCTTGTGATTATGAACATAGTAATGTGATATTAAAAATGAAAATATCTATAATTTCATTCCCATATATAATTTCCATAATACTTACAGATATACAACATATGTGTTTGTATATTTGTGCTATCAAATCACAGACAAACGTTTTAAACATCTTTGACTATATCATTCCAAACTCCTTTCAGAAAATTGTTTTTCACATTCCGACACTGAAATATGCACATCAAAATATTCTCATCTCATCAGTATTTTGTTTCTTTTCTCCCTTCAGGAAAGCCTACTACATTATTTGAGCTGATGGGGAAAGCTGAAATGTGGCTCATTAGAGACTACTGGAATTTTGGGTATCCTCACCCACTCTTACCAAATTTTGAGTTTGTTGGAGGTTTCCACTGCAAACCAGCCAAACCACTGCCTAAGGTAACCTATTTCTGTTGTTCATTTGCTTAGAGACTCTTCAACCATACTCTAGCTTAAAATGTACACTCCAGGGGCCCTCCCTGGTGGCGCAGCGGGTTAAAGCACAGCACTAAGAAGCCAAAGCCACTTCCGCATGAGTTCGATCCCCGCCTGCCCTGGAGTGACCACATGGCGTGGCAGACCTCTCCTGACCCGCCCGCTGCTCCCCTCAGCAGTGTACTTCGTTGATCTGCCTGTTCTGCTCCCCACTCTGTCCCTGGTGAATCCTCTCACCCTCCGCATCTCTGGCCTGTACCCCAGTTCTGTATGAATAAATAAATCTTTATAAAAAAAAATGTACACTCCAGAAAATAAGAGTGTACATTCCCTCAATATTTTTAGCCACGCCCAATATTTATTTTTCTCTTACTCTAGCTTTAAACAATTCATTTAAGATTCATGGTTTGACATTTCGGGATATAAGGGGGGTTGTTTAACCCATTTGAGCAGGGGTTCACTACTCTGCTTCTCCTTTATGATGAACAAATTCTTTCCTCACAGGAAATGGAAGAGTTTGCACAGAGCTCTGGAGAAAATGGTATTGTGGTGTTTTCTCTGGGCTCAATGATTAGTAACCTGCCAGAAGAGAGAGCCAATGTGATTGCATCGGCCCTTGCCCAGATTCCACAAAAGGTTAGAGAAAGTCACGTCATGTGGACAACAACCATGTATGCGCACTTGCAAAGGATTTGATGACAGAAATTTCTTGCAGGATAAGTACATAATCATTGTTTTATTTTTTTCTTGGATTCACTTAAACAAAATATACATGGCAGGTAAGAAAAGGTTCAGTGGGTTTGTTTTTTTTTTTTGAGTGATAATAATTTAGCATTAAATTGTGATCAGAATAAAATATATTTAGGAGGAAACACTGCAAGTTTACATTACAAAGGTACTGTGGGTGGGTATAGAAATAACCATTTTTTGCATTGCCATTTATTGTTTTTTATGGGACTTCTAAAGGCCAGTACACAATGCAAATGTTATCAGCAAGGAGATAAATCTCTACAATGTTAAGCAAAAACTGATAAAATATGAAAGGTAATTATGCAATGGAGATTTGTGGAAAAGTCAGGCCTTTTGTCCCCTATGAATGAAATTATCCTGATTCCACACTCAGTGTGCTATTATTATGGTCTTCAGAGAGTGATGGCTAAGGTCTCAAATGAATCAATGTTGTCAAGTTTGGCAGCACATAGATAATATGTTCATAGTCACTTTAAATAAATTTGGATTTTTTCCCAATAATTGTATTTTTATTGTATATTATGAAGCTATGTTTATATTATATACTGAAAACAGGCCTTCCTTTTCTATGTTAAATGAACTTCCAAAGTTAAAGGCACAAATAATATCCTGGATTCATGAAGTGCTTAATAGCCAGTGAATTAAAAGTAGCTGAATGGACTTACTAAGCAGAGATTATTTATATTACTAGTTAGTTGTCTGTAAACAGAATTATTATTTCTCTTGAGTACTGAATTATTTTCCCTAATCTTTTTGTAAACTAAGTGATGCAAATCTTTAGTAATGTAACCTAGGGAACAATAAATAAATAAATAAATAAATAAATAAATAAATAAATAAATAAATAAATAAATAAATAAACTTCTTTCTGTGACACTTAAAAAGAAATTAATAGGTTAATACTACTTGGGAATTTTGAGAATATTTATAGTAAATCAGAAAGAAAGTTCAAAGATCTTGCTAGTTTCAAATACATTTTGAACCATACTATGTACTCTAAAATGTCTTAAATTTTATACTTACTAATAGTCCCATTTGTCATTTCCCCTATATGTGAAGGGAAGGGCCATAATTGGATTCATACTTGCATGAGAATAAAATTTGTTCACATGTGTGAGGATAGGTATCATGCCAGTTTTTTAGCATTTCTATTTTTAATATCTTATGTATGTGTGTATATGAATGTATTAAATTTGATATTCTGAATGTTTTTAAAATCAAGCACATTATAACTTTAAAATCTACTAGAGTAAGATATATTTTTTACCCTATTAGGTTCTATGGAGATTTGATGGCAAGAAGCCAGCTACTTTAGGGGCAAACACTCGGCTGTACAAATGGCTCCCCCAAAATGACCTTCTCGGTAAGATACTAGAAAACAAACATTAAAATAAGAGTAAGCCCAACCATTCTGATAATAGTTCAAAGGAAACAAATATATGAAACATTTATTATTGAAAATGCCAGATTTAGCTTCCTTGTATTTTTTTCCAGCCATATGTTGAAAAGATAATATATAAAAGATGCCATTTTAATTCCTTCTGACTAGGATAAAAGTGTCTTTATTTCACGTGTAATCTTCTCTGGATATATATATATATATAAATATATATATATATTTAGCCATTCTGTTTCTTTGTTTTACACCACCACCATCTCTTTTATCTACTTGAATTTTCCAGTATTTCACTAATTTCCCTCCTCTCCCACTGCTACTTCATAGTTCTGTGCTTTGATCCATTGTGCCACCTGGCAGAGTCAATATTTATAGCACTCTTTAAACATAAAAAGAAAAAGATCGGCCCTCCCTGGTGGTACAGCGGGTTAAAGCACAGCACTAAGAAGCTAAAGCCACTTCAGCATGAGTTCGATGCCCCCCTGGCCCAGAGGAGAGCCACATGGCGTGGCAAACCTCTCCTGACCCGCCCACTGCTCCCCTCAGCAGTATACTTCGTTGATCTGCCTGTTCTGCTCCCCACTTTGTCTCTGGTGAATCCTCTCACTGCCCCTGCACCTCTGGCCTGTACCCCAGTTCTGTATGCACAAATAAATAAATCATTTTTTAAAAAGAAAAACATCAAGATATAATAGTTTCCACAAAAAAAAATGAATATATAGGTGAAAATATTGGTGATTTGTTCCATGACATGACCCCCATGGCAAGTAAGATTAAAGCAAAAATATACCACTGGGATTGCCTGAAATCAAAAAGGCTTTTTGTTGTGAAGTAAAAAAAAAAAAAAGTAGATTATAGTATTTTACTTTCTTAAATTATGTGCTTATATAACTCTCCAATTATTATATTTGCCCTTATAACTTGTTTTACTATATATAATTCCCTTGAACTTTCCATTTTTCTGCATTGCAGCATTTCTTCTTTTCTTACAGCTGAATAGTATTCTATAATGAATACACCACTTCTTCCTGATCCAATCTTTAATCAATAGGTAATTAGTATAACCCCATGTTCCTATAAATGAACACTTCAGATATTTTTCTTTTTCCTCTGACTTATTTCACTGAGCATAACTTTTAGTTCATTCATCTTGCTGTGAATGAGATGAGTTTCTTTTTTTTTTATTTCTGAATAGTATTCTATTGTGTATATAAACCACATCTTTATGATCCATTCATCTGTTTTGGGGCATTTAGGCTGTTGCCATATCTTAGCTATTATAAATAATGCTGTAGTAAAATAGGAATATTTGTGTTTTCATCTTCAAGTTTGGAAAATTCTCTTCAATTGTTTTCTTAAATAAGTTTTCAGTTCTTTGTCTCTTTCTTCATCATCTGGAATTCCTATGACTCTTATATATCCTTTCCTGATGGTGTCAGATTATCTAGAAGTATTCCTTCAGCCTTTATCCTTTGTAGCTCTTTTCTTTTCTTTCTTTCTTTTTTTTTTTTTGTTGTTCATTTTATATCTGTATCTTCAAGCATATTGATCCATTTATCCACTTCATCTAATGTGATTTTGTGTGTGTGTTTTTTTTTTCAGGAACTTTTGAATTCCTCCATTGATCTTTTAACATCCTGCAGTTCCTCTGTAACCTATTTAAAGATATGTTCTCATTCTTCAGTTTGTCAATTGTGTTTCTCATTGCATTCTGCTCTTTTTCAGTTTCTTTTGCTTTTTATAATAAGCTCATTCTGAATAATTTATCTGTAAAGCGGAGAAGTTCCTTCATGTCATTAGGCTCTTATAGCTGATTTTCTTTCTGTGATGTACAGTTCACAGTATGGTCTGTTTGACTTGAAATAAGAGTTATTAATACATTTTATGTGTAATAAATAAATGGATAATCAGTTATCTAAAAAATAATGCTACTTTCAGTCCCTTATATTACTCTCATTTTATTCTCAGAATTTTATAATTTGTTGAAATTCATCCAATTGTAGGTCATCCAAAAACAAAGGCTTTTATAACCCATGGGGGAGCCAATGGCATCTTTGAGGCAATCTACCATGGTGTCCCAATGGTGGGCATTCCCTTGTTTGTGGACCAGCCTGAAAACATGGCACATATGAAGGTCAAGGGTGCCGCTGTCGTACTGGACATACAAAGAATGTCAAGCACAGATTTGCTGAATGCACTGAAGACAGTTATTAATGACCCCTCGTGAGTATCAGCATTTTTCTCAGCAGTGTTAACAGATAAATTTGTCAACAGTATGAGTTTCTTGTCTCTTTTGATAATTATGTAACCACTATCTGTTGGAGACTGGCCTCAATAAGCTACAAGGTGGAATCAGTGTTGGCATGTGGAGTCCAAGAAGAGGAAAAGGGGGGCAACAGTGAAGAAGACTCGGGAGTTGGAGTTGGGTGCAAGTCTGCTCATTTTCTCAGCAGGCCTTTATTTATACTGTGTAGTAAGTAGTTAATTACAATAATGCATAAGGTAAGTTAATGAGAAATCGCCATAAACTGCCATAAACGTTCTCAAGGAAGAGGGGAACAATGCTTTTTCTTTCAAACACTTTATGATATACTAAATTACACACATTTGTGGTAACTGTCATGTATATGGATGTTTAACTATAGCTCAAAGGATAAGGGATCTGGGAAAGTATGAGCCATTAGAAAAGGATTGTTAGGGGCACTGGGGAAGGAATAAATTGTGTTAGCAGAGACATCGATGATTGTCTAAAGAGAAGCTAATGGCTAACTAAAGCTAGCAGAGTAGTTAGTGGTTGTTTAAGAAAAGGGTAGTTTAAGACTAGCAGAGAGTAGTTAGGGATTGTTTAAGAAAAGGGTAAATTAAGACTAGAGAATAGTTAGTGGTTACTTAAAAAGAAGTTATATAGTCATGTATTAAGCAAAACCTGTGTAAGCAAGGTTAGAAAATTGTCCATGAGTCCTTATGCCCTAGGAGTCTTATCTGAGGTTTGCTTTTTATTTCAAAAGACCAAGAAAGCTCCCCAGGAGTCTTTATGCCCTTGGGATCTTATCTCTTCTAGAGCTTGCCTTTCGTCTCAGGAGACAGAAGAATTTCATGCCCTGGGGCTGCACCTGCATGCCTGTGCCAGGCAGCCACCTTATGAGGCTAAAGTAATCCAGTCGTAAACTGATGGTTGCTCAGAATATTTTGATATTATGATTATATAAAAAAGGGAGGTTGTAACATAAGTTAGCATTGGAAATTCTGAATTTTCAGAGTTTTTCCCTTCCACCGATATTTGTCAGTCAACAGAAGTTGCATAGCTTGTGTGAACTATCATGTTTTAACCTATCAAATCTGTTTTTATTTTCAATCAGACATTAATTTTGATGGTTCATTTTGACCTTACTTGAGAAAGGGGTAATTATAACTAAAATTTTTGTTTATATTAGCAAAGGCAAAAACTGTATAGGTAATTGGTGAAAGTACACTGTTTTAAAAGTTTATTTAAACCACAAGGAAAAATGAAGAGATTGAAGCTATATGAAATATTTTAGATCAGTACCAAAAATTTCAGAAAGTATAAGCCTTTTGACCAAAAATTAATTTTTTGTCCTTATTTTAACGGAGTTCATAAATAGGCACAATTTATATATAATGAAATTCAATAGCATATATATATTATATATATATTTCAAGTATAGTATATTCAGTTATTTAGCAATCAGTATAATTCAAACATAAGACAAATTCATTATACCTAAACATAGGACATCTCATCATATCTTAAAAGTCAGTCTCCTTTCCTTTTTTCTTATACAAAAATTATTCTATTTCCTGTCCCTATGAATTGCCCTCATCTGAATTTTTCATACAATCAGAATCATTTAAAACAGTTGGTAAAGGACAACTCATCCCTTTTTGCTGTCATAAAATAGTTTAGCTTCACCTACATGGTAGACATGATTTATGAATAATATCCTATTGTATGGCTATTTGCACGCTTATTCATGAACATTATATTGTTTTATGAGGCTATTTTGAAAACTGCTTTACATATTTCGTGTGAACATGTTTTCATTTTCTTTCAGTTGAGCTGCCATAGAATCTGGTACTATTATAAGGAACTTTCAAACTGGTATCAAAATAAGATCACCACTTTACATTCCCACCATCTTGTTTGTTTGTTAGTGCTGCACACTGTCGTTACTAGCTGCTATCACTTCACTCTTTTCTCTTATTCTCCCTAATGAGTGAAAAATGGTCTTACATTGTGGTACTGATTTGTACCACCTTTACACACAGCAACCTGAGTGCCTTTGCATATTTAAGTAAGCCAAGCATATATCTTCTTTTGAAAAATGTCTATTTCAACATTTTGACAATTTATGAATTTTGTTGTCATCTTACTGTTGGGCATGAAGAATTATTCATTATATTTATTATTATACTATAGATACAAGTATATTAAGAGCTGTATGATTTACAAATATTTAATCTCAATCCTAGTGTGTTGATATTTTTACTTTCTGAATATGTCCTTGAAAACATTAAAGATCTTGTATGTAATAAGAATAATACTGAATTTTTTTTCATCCCCACAGGAAAATAATATGGTGCTTTTGTAATTTCTAGCATGGTGCCCATCAATTCAGTTTTCATTACTACTATTAACACTACCACTATATGTGGCACATTTGAAAATTTCCTACAATATTCCCTACAATAAAAATGAATTAAAAAATTCTTTGCAAGGGTAAGAGACAATATTAAAAGAAATATAAAGCACTTTCAAAAAATGTAAAAAAAAATTTAAATGTAAATATGCCAGTATTGCATTAAATCTAAAAAGACCAAATCTTTAAAAAATTGCTGTCACACTATTTTAAGAAATTAGCTCTGTAATAACTATAGTTACACTTAAATAGAAATATACAAAAAGTTTGTAGCTGCAGAGGTAGTAAAACATCTATTTCAAAATAAGCTTAGCTGTTGCATTTATGTTATAATCAGATATATTAGACCAAAAGAACTACTAAAATAAATATTAATATGCTATAATTGTAAGTGGATCAATCTTTCAAAACAATGCAAATTATCACTGGTAATATGTAATAATTCAAAATAATGAAAACATAGGCCAAAAAAACTAAACATACAAATTCATAGACATAGAAGACAGTTTTCAAAATTTTTCAGTAAAATTGAAAAAGACATCAGATAATGGATTAGTATCTTACAGTTTTGAAAACACAGTTTATAAATATAACAAATTTTAGATAAAGTCACAATAGAGAATATACTTTTTTAAAAGATTGGAACTCAATATTAGAAACACACACACACATATATATATATGCAAAGAGTATACTGTCCAGAATTTCTGGATTTAGTTAGAAATCATTAAAAAGAAAAATAACGAAAGTATATCTAAATTTTGGAAATCAAACCATGAACTATATATTGTAGAAGTAACAATGTAATCATAATCATATATGTGCCTTCTTAGCAGCTTCACTTTAAGATAAAAGCTCAACAGAAATGTATATATAGATAAGTGTATATGTGTATTTATTTACTTATATGTTAAACTAAAGACATATATGAGATGCTTATTACATCACTGATAGTAATATTTACAATACATATGCCATTGATCATAACATAAAAAAATCATGGTACTGTCATATGATAGAGAAAAATAATTAACCAACAATTGATATATAAAAAATAGAATCAAATATGAACATATGATTGTAATACATAAATTAAAAACTAACTTAAAGTGTAAAAAGAGAGCCGGTAGTTGATTCAAGAAGGCAGCAATGACTTAAGGATCCAGGAAGGTATTAGTGACACATAAGTTACACTAAGACAGGTAGTTTGTAATATCTTAACTCAATATTAAGGTAGTAGTTACATGGGTGTTTTATTTCATGATATCACTTTACAATAATTCTCTAACTTGGAAATTTCAGCTGCATAGTTAGGATATGTGCACTTTTACTATGTATTCATGCTTAAATACTTATGATAGCAATTATAATGCCTTTTAAAATTTAGGACACAGTAGCAAAATAAACAAAAAATAAAAGAAAGGAATAAAAGCACTCTCACAGTAAGGCCAGCAAAAACTTTTTACTATGCAACAAGAAGCTGAAGACTCAATCAGAAGGTCGAGGGAAGCTTGCAGGTGTTACTAGAAGGGAGGTCTGGGATAAAGAAAGGGACCAAAACACAAAGTAGCTACAGTGAGATATTTAATTTCAATAAATAGCTAGAAAACCAATCTCTCTATATCAGAGTGTACATGAAAAAAGTAATAAATCATTTGGCATGAACATGCAAAACACTGAATTCCAAACACCATAACCGCTTTTAATGTGATAAGAATCAAATGGAAATACTGAGGGCAGATTGTTATAGTATGAAGCTTATTTCAGAAATTGTTTAGACTGCAGAATAGAAAATAAAGAGTAGAAAAGAGTGAAAACAAAGGAAATATTGAGTGATTTTATCCATGATGAAGTAAATCTATAGATGTTTCATAAGCATCATTTTAAAAAGTTTACTTCCATAACTGAGATGGAAAAAGGCACACAATGATGTAAAAATAAAAAAAAAAGTTTATTTCCACTGTCTACTTACAATTGCTATAGTGAATACTGCCACTACCTCTGGCTGAAATAACTTACCATCCCACCTTACAGTCAATCTTCACTTTTTAACATATTTATCATTTAGAAAAATTCAAAAAAATTAAAAATCAACCTATGAAGATCCAAATAAAATATAATGGTTCATCTGAAATTTCATGCCATTTATTTTGAATTATATGTGTGGCAGTGTAAAAAACTTTCAATATATGATATGTTTAGACAAATTAGTTTCCTTCCAATATCTGTAAACTTGCATTTCTCCCTAGATACAAAGAGAATGTTATGAAATTATCAAGGATACAGCATGATCAGCCAATGAAGCCTCTGGATCGAGCTGTCTTCTGGATCGAGTTTGTCATGCGCAATAAAGGGGCCAAGCACCTGCGGCCGGCCTCCCATGACCTCACCTGGGCCCAGCTCCATTCCCTGGATGTGATTGGGTTCCTGCTGGCCTGTGTGGCAACTGCAGTGTATGGCATCACAAAATGCTGTCTGTTTTGTTGCCGGAAAGTGGTCAAAACCAGAAAAGACAAAAGGGAGTAGTTGTTCCTGAGTCCTTAGGCTGGTATGTCTTTAATTTATTGCACAAGAAGTTGTGGTGTAAGGATCCCTTTCTCCTATGGCACTTGCTTACAATTTCACTTCTCATCAAGGCTTGTTTCCAAGAGATTTATTAACCAATTAAGAGTTAGAGGTGTCATTTGAAAGAGAAAGTAACTGGGAAGTATAACAAAAATAAAGCTATATGCATGAGCCAAATAAGGAATCAGGAAAATAAAAGTAACTATAATAAAGTAAAAATAAAAATCATCAGGTAACTACATCTCAGAGACATTCTGTAGGTGAGGAGGTGGAGAAGAACCAGGACAGGGACGGGCACAAGAGACTGTGGTGATGACGCAGGGGGGAATTGGTAGGGATTTCATGGGGACATCATGCATTATACAAAAAAGAAGGATGGTGTAATGAATATATTTAAAAAATTAAAAGTTATCTCTAAAAATTGTACTAAAAACTACTGTATCGAATTAATTTTCACACATTGTTCATGGACACAGGAACATATATTCTGTAGAAGATACCAGTTTTATTCTGAGAATAGAAAATTTAACTTAATTTGGTATAGAGCATTGTAGTTTAAAATTTTACTGTAGAATCATTTAAATAGTTAAATTGTGTAAACCATTTACTCTTCAATTTATTTTTCAAGACAACTAACAGTGTTCGACTTTATTCCAGCCTCAGTAATACCTTTTACCAGTATTTGTGCCAAGATACTGCCTCTGTCCATTTTAAGTCATTTCCCAATGTAATGTATGTGGACTTGGAAACATAGCAATTGCTATTCACTTCCTGTAATAAAAATGAGCTATTCAGGGAACACTTTAGTTTCACTAGCCTGTCCCTTTAACTCTCAGTCCTCCAAAATGGTCCATCTCATTGTTTTCAGTCTCATTTTCAGCAGTAATAGAGGGTATGAAGTCTCAACTACAGGTTGTAATGACATACAATATGTACTATCAGGAGGCTTACTAATAGCTCATTACTTTCTTATGTTTGCACATATATAAATGACTGTTTCTATGGAAACAAGTCACAGCCTCTCTCAGCTACTTAAAGATAGTAACAACTCAATAAGTTTGTTGAAGGAATTTTGAGATAATTATTAGTATCATGTTTAGCCAGACAAGCATGTGTCTATTTTTCTCTCTGTCCACAGAAAGTCTGTTGTCTAAACTAAAATTTACTTTTTTTTTTTTAATCTGTTGCCTTAGGGCCTATAGCTTAGGAGGAAGGTTTGGTGACCAGGGGCTTGAATTGTTGGTTCAAGGGGATGAAAACAATAAAACAAACATTTTCAATTATCATATCAAGATTCAAAACAAATGAAGCTTAGAGAAATTCCTATTACCAGTTATCCCATGAAAGAGATTTAATTACATATTTCAAACAGTTTGTCTGAGCGTGTGATTTCCAGTTACCTAGAAGTTAGGTGCTGACTGAGATCCTTCTCCTTAGAAACAATGACAAATCTTGGTACAAACTCATTATATCTAAGAACCCCAAAAGTAAAATAAACTACTTAGATAAACACAAAAATTTAAGGGACCATCTAAAGCTAAGGCAGTGAAAAGTTTGAATACTCTATGAGGCCATTCCCACAAGACTGTGAGGTGGTTATTTCAAACAATGTATATAAACCAACACAGAGAATTGAGAAAAAGGAAGAAATGGAGGAATACGTTCCAAACGAAAGAACAAGAAAACTACAAGCAAAGATAATAATGAGATGTACATAAGTGATCAAAAGGTTGACATCTGCAAAGCCATTCCCAATGTGGAACCAGTCAGTCATTATGGAGCAACAAATACCTGTTTCCTTGATCTCGATTACAGACATCTAGCCTGTGCCAAAATAAATTGTTTTAAGAAGGCATCAAACAAACAAATGTTTGTGAAGTCATCCAGATCATGAGCACTGATAATTATGGACTTTCAGTTGAAGGAAAGAATTTCCTTTTTATCTTTTCTAAAGAATAAGCTGCCAACTGTATAGTCAAGAATGAATAATTACTGAAGCTTGCTGATACTAATCAATGTTCTTTTTTTAAACCACCTAACTTATTTTCCTCTATTTTTTCCATAAAAACCCCTGATATTCGGCCCTCCCTGGTGGCGCAGCAGGTGAAAGCACAGAACTAAGAAGCTAAAGCCACTTCAGCATGAGTTCGATCCCCCGCCTGCGCCGGAGGTGACCACATGGCGTGGCAGACCTCTCCTGACCCGCCCGCTGCTCCCCTCAGCAGTGTACTTCCTTGATCTGTCTGTTCTGCTCCACACTCTGTCTCTGGTGAAGCCTCTCACCGCCCCTGAGCCTCTGGCCTGTATCCCAGTTCTGTATGCACAAATAAATAAATCTTTAAAAAAAAAACAAAAAAAAAAACTGATATTCAGTGGGACGAGGGAAGTGTGTTGGACTCAGTGATGGCACATGGGTGACTTGGTGATGGGAAACCCATGGGGATTACAATTGAGATGAAAAAAATGTACAAAATGATGTAAAAATAAACTATTATAAAAAATGTTATCCAACATTTAAAAAAACCTGATATTAATCCACTTATGGTACATTTTAATTTTCTACCTGTACTCATGTACCTTTTTTTTTTTGCAGTTCTTTAATGCCAAATATTATTTTTCTTATTTTCTCTTACTAATTTTTTTTTAAAGATTTATTTATTTGTACATACAGAACTGGGGTACAGGCCAGAGGCCCAGGGGCGGTGAGAGACTTCACCAGAGACAGAGCGGGGAGCAGAACAGGCAGATCGACGAAGTACACTGCTGAGGGGAGCAGCGGGCGGGTCAGGAGAGGTCTGCCGCGCCATGTGGTCACCTCCGGGGCAGGCGGGAATCGAACTCATGCGGAAGTGGCCCCAGCTTCTCAGTGCAGTGCTTCAACCCGCTGTGCCACCAGGGAGGGCCTCTCTTACTAATTTTAAGTTGACAGAAATTTATATTTGATAAAGAATTAAAAATAGTTGTAAAAAGTTGCCTCTGAGATTTACCAGACTCAGAGTATCAAAAAAGTAATGATTTTAATGATGAGATAGGAAATAAAAGTCAAAAAACTTAGCAATTAAGCATTAAGCACACCAACATTCAAATTTTAAGTTTTCAGGAAGCCAAAGAGAGAGAAAGGAGAGGAATGAAAACTTAGAAAACATAATGGCTGAACTTTCCTAATCTGAGGAAAGAAACAGCATCCAGACCTAGAATATCTGAAATTTCTGAATAAGAAAAACTAAGAAACCTACTCAATAGCATAGTTAATGGGCCAAATGTTAAAGATCATCATAGCATCTTATACTAACAGGAAAACAACTTGTTACATGTAAAAAAATCCCCCATAATATTGCCATATTTTTTAGCAGAAACTTTATAGGTCAGAAGGGACTTGCATTATATACTCAGAATGATGAAAGAAAAATAAGCCAACTACTGGCAAAGTTGACCTTCACTGTTGAGATACATACAGTCTTCCAGACTAGCCAAAACTAGAGGAGTTACAACAAATGTTAAAGGAACCTACTTAGGTTTAAGCAAGAAAGTACTAATTTTCAAATTAAATCATACAAACATATTAATCTCATTGGTACAGACAATAAAATGTAAAGATAGTTAACACTTTAACAAAACAGCCAGAAAACAAATGAAAAATAGCAAAATGTATATACCTATTAATCCTTGCTTATTAAAATTGACGAGATTCTGGGGGGTGGAGGGGTGGGGGGGAGAGGGCTCCATGGTAGCAAAGGGGTTAAAGACACAGCACTATCAAGTTATTGGGAGCCACTGAAGCAAGAATTCAATCCGGCTAGGGAACTAACCCACATGGCACAGCAGATGTTTCCTGTCTCACCTACAGTTACCCTCCACAAAGTATTTAAGTAGGTCTAGCTGTTCTGCTCCCCACTCTGCCTCTAGTGAATCCTCTAAGCACCCCCCACCCCACCACCACCTCTGGCCTACACCCCAGTTCTTGTGTGCATAAATAAGTAAAAATAAATCTTAAAACACATTTTCAAATCGGGGCCTCCCTGGTGGTGCAGCGGGTTGAAGCATAGCACTAAGAAGCTAAAGCCACTTCCTCATGAGTTGATTCCCGCCTGCCCCAGAGGTGACCACATGGCGCGGCAGACCTCTCCTGACCAGTCCACTGTTCCCCTCAGCAGTGTACATTGTGGATCTGCCTGTTCTGCTCCCCACTGTCTCGCGCGAAGCCTCTCACCGCCCCTGCACCTCTGGCCTGTACTCCAGTTTCTGTATGAAAAAAATAAATAAATCTTTTTAAAAAAAATTTTCAAATCACAAAACAGACTAAATGGATTTTTTAAATGACCCATTTATATGTTTACCTAAGAGACTCTTATTAGATATAAGGACACACAGGCAGATTGTGAAGGAGCAGGAAAAAAAAAATCCATGCAAATGGAACCAAAATGAATTGAACTGATTGAACCTAATGAGGGGAAGTACAGAAACATCTTGATTTATAACCAATCAGAAAATCAGTGAATAACTGAGCAGGTGACTGCAAGATCCGATGTTTAGGAAGTCATGGGAACCTCCTAGCTTTAGACAGACAGTCAAAAGCACAGTTAATATCCTGGGCTTAATAGTGGTACTTGATGTTGTTGGGTGAAACTGATTTCCAGGACTGAAACTTAAGCCTGTGTAACATAATCTTTATTTCAGGTAAATAGTATAGAATTGAGTTTATTATAGGATCTCCAAATAGTGCATGGAATAGAACTGAACTATTAAAGGGATGTCCAATAGGGTACGAGCTGTGGAAATCACCATGAAAATTTCAGGGTTACATGAAAGTAAGAATGTGGATTAATATCAGAATAATTCCCTTCCAGGCTTTTAGGTGATGTGGACTACAAAACAGATATCCCCTGTGCTGTGACGCATGAATCCAAGAGATGCATGAATCCACTTACAGAAACTGTCAGATTAGGCAAATCTATAGGCAA